CTTTAAGCAAAAATATCTAGCCATTTGAAATTAGAGGCAACCACTGCATTTTAATCATGATCTGCACGGGCAGTTGTTTTTGATTTGATTTAGATTAATTTCAGGATTTAAAACAAAAACAGAATGGTCTGACTTTAGGTGTTATTTATTTATTTGCTACATAAAACATCTGCACGAAACAGCAGGTGGCGCCTATGAACAGGGTTGCCAGGTTTTCGCAATAAAACTAGTCCAATCGCTTTTCGAGGAGGGTTCCCCTGTAAAAATCGCATTCCGGGGGTAAAATACACGTTTTTCGGCGGGGATCTTCAAGTAAAATTCACATTCCAGGGACTGAATATCACGTTATTGGGGTCGCTTCAACCCGCGGACATGAACAACAACCCGCGGCAACATTGTTAAGTAGCCCAATTCCGCGGGAAAACCGCAGACTTGGCAACACTGCTTATGAACCGAGCGCACTATAGCGTTTCCTTGGTTACCGCTGTAAACAAAGCAGAGTTGCGCTTTATACGGAGAAGAAAATGCCATCGAAACTTTTCTCAAGACAGTTCCCTTCAGTGATACATTAATATAACCCCATAAATGTAATGCATTTTGTACTTATTTTACTGTTTTTTTCGGGATCTACTGGGACAGTGATAAAGATCTACCAGTCGATCGCGATCGACGGGTTGGCGACCACTGGTGTAGAGTACCCGGGTGACATGGCCGCGGTGTTCTTCTAGATTGGGTGAGTATATTAGTATATCATCGATGTAGATGAGGACGAACCGGTTGAGCATGTCTCTGAAGATCTCATTCATAAAGTTTTGGAAGATGAAAGCCACCTTCGCCCTTTCCGTCACAAACAGGTGGCGTTGTAACTCGAAGTAGAGGGAACATTGTAGCAAAAACCCGCTGCAGGAGGCTGCCTCACCAGAGAAGCTCGCTGGCCGGGCCATGGGACAGGCTGATGGTGCAGTGGTGACGGTCGGCGAGAGAGGCTCAGGGGAGGCTGTGCTCCGAGGATCCATGAGAGTCTTTGTTGAATATTACTGTAAATGGGCTGGTCTTCTGTCACATCTGGTCAAGGAGGCAAACAAGCAGAGTCAAGCAAACAGATAATTTTATTAAGGTAACTGAGGAAGGGCTTCCAACATAGGAGAATCGAACTGAGGTGTGCTACGAAAGCAGAGGAAACCGTCTTATCTGAATTTAAATGGTCTGGTCCTTTCACAGATAACAGAGGATTCCCGGATCGACAGGCAGACAGGTTGGTCTCAACCTTGAGACCAGCCGACGAGTGACTGAGGTGCGTGTGTTTTTGAATGGTTTGGTAAGTGGATGCAGGTGTCTGTGATTAATAACTACGTGATTGTGAACAGGTGTAGACGGTTGGTTCGGCTGGTGAGGCAGGTGATCTCGTGACAAATACATAAGAATTTGCTGCTTTTCATATATTGCAAAATATGTGAAAATATGTACTTATATATAGTAATATATGCAATTTTATATTCAATAACATCATTCATAAAATATATGTGTACATGTAATAAAATATGGTACTGTGTGTGTGTAGATATATTTGAACATACATGTACCATATATATTCACACTTGGGAACATGCATGTACAATTATTTGTACTCAGTTATGAGGAAAATATATATTGTCATACATGTCCATGTATTTGTGTTTATTCATAGTACATAAAGCACACAATTGGTTACGGTATAAATGTTGCCATGACTTTAACAAGGCATCCAATCGTCCAAAATGACAAAACTTCTAATATTTGTTTCAGTAAATCTTTCAGGTATTTTTCTTATATACCATCATACATATTTTTATATACCAAATGTGGATCTATGCAAACAATAAAGTGAGATAATATGTGTTCAGCTTTATGTAAACTCAAGCATTAACTCTTTAACTCTTGAGAAATTAATTGAGTTTCATTAAAGCTATTACATGTAAAAATGTAGTTACATTTTCTTCATTGCTACATATGTATTTTTATATGTATCACTATACAGCCATATATGGTCCATTAATATATTGCAGTATATTGAAAAACATAAGCACTAGTTTCCCATATATGGGAATGTATTAATATATTGCATTATATTTTCCAGTATATTTCCATTTATTTCTGTTTTGTAAGTTTAGACATGTTTGTTTATGATGTCAGTCTGCTTATACTGTTATTCAAGGGTTATTGCACCAAAATATTTATAATTTAGTTGTCTTGACCATTTCCTTTCTCTCAGCCTGTATTTATGAGTATATCTTTATTACTGCAATATGTAGTTGTTACGACTGACTAACGATTCGGTCGTTTTGAGCTCACAAAACACTGATGCTCTTTTTGAGGAGGGAACTCCATGTTTCTTATTTTGACAATACCATTGTTTTCTTTGAAGTACCTACAAAAGATATATTTAAATTTGCATGGAGACATTTAGCAGATGTTAAAACAAGGCTTATGATGTACAATTAAATATAGTCTTACCATTAGACACATGCCATCATAGTACCATGCTTCTGTCACAATGAGCAAGAGAAAAGGTGATATCCCTGATATGATTCCTTGAAACAGTTTGTTTCACGTGTAACTTATTATTATTATTATTATTATTATTATTATTGTATATTTTAGTAAATTCTGCCTTGTTCACAAGCATTACATAATTATTGTAAATTATCATGATAACATCTGATTATTGTTGTCTATTTGATAAATAAACTTGGCATTTTCTCTGTTCATCAGCTGAGAGACCAGATCAATCAGATGTTACATTTTGAAACGTCTCGGTTACTTGTGTAACCCTCGTTCCCTGACGGAGGGAACGGAGACGTTACGTCAGTCATGACTGACGAATTGGGATCTCGCCCGAGAGCCCAATCACCTTCGAGTGCTAACTAAACAAGCCAATGACAGTTGGCGTGCGTGTTTCGCCACGCGCACCCCGCCCCGCAGCGCGGGTATAAAAGGAGAGCACATGCAAACGCACATCAGTTTTTCTGACCGCCGAGGGTGCGGGAGGAACTCCAACAGGGTTCGCCATGGGGAACTGAACTGAGAAGCAAAAAAGTGCACGTATCCGGTCCGTAGAGGGGAACGGCGCAGCAAGCATGATCGACACTGAGCGGGTCCGGTGTTACTGCCTACCTGAGGCGAATACACGAGAGGACACGGGCTCTACACGGAGATTATAGAATCTCGCAAACGTGTTAGGCGTCGCCCAGCCG